CTGCCAGCAGGAGGCGCTGTTGGAGTGGCAGAGATCAATGTTTCCCCGGTAACGGCTGTACACAATGCAGCGCTCCGCTCAAAAAAAACTGCTTTATCAGACATTACATGCAAGATTAAATTAAAATTACTCATTCTCTGCCAGCAGGAGGCGCTGTTGGAGTGGCAGAGATCAATGTTTCCCCGGTAACGGCTGTACACAATGCAGCGCTCCGCTCAAAAAAAACTGCTTTATCAGACATTACATGCAAGATTAAATTAAAATTGCATCCAATTTTCTGAAGACAGTCGGTTTCCTTCAGAAATACAGTGATATAAAACACCCGCACTCAATGTATGGGAAACACTGTAGTCTCATAATTGAAGTGATTGAAATTCTGCAGATTACATCATTGTCCAGTATTGTACTGTCAGCAATTTATTATAAAAACGTTTTCATAATTGTAACATACATATTTACAAACATAATTATTCAGGTGCATGTGTAATAACTTGCGAAAACTTGAAGCTACAGCAGCACTTCTTCGTCGTCGTCTCGTCTGATGCACTCAACCAAGCGTTCTAACCACAACCTCGCCCCTCCCCACCCCCCAACCATTCGAATTTCTGTAGGCGAATTCTAATGGGCCGCTTTGTGATATCACAAAACCCGGAAAACAAACGCTGCAGTACAAACGAGCTGTTCGTTGTAGTTCTTGAAAAGGGATTTTTTAAAAACGAAATTTCTCCCTTTGGAGTGGACTTTGACATTTGTAAATTTGAAGATCTTTTTTATGCCCAAACATACACACTACACACTGACTAAAATTCAAAAAGGGGGAAGTCCTGGCTTAATGGTTAGAGTCGGACTCGTAACCCAAAGGAGTTCGAGTCTCAAGTCCGGCAGGAATTGTAGGAACATACACACTACACACTGACTAAAATTCAAAAAGGGGGAAGTCGTGGCTTAATGGTTAGAGTCGGACTCGTAACCCAAAGGAGTTCGAGTCTCAAGTCCGGCAGGAATTGTAGGTCAGGGGAGTGAATGTACAGTGCTCTCTCCCACCTTCAATACCACGACTGAGGTGAGACCCTTGAGCAAGGCACCGAACCCCCAACTGCTCCACAGGCGCCGCAGCATAAATGGCTGCCCACTGCTCCGGGTGTGTGTTCACGGTGTGTGTGTGTGCACTGCTGTGTGTGTGCACTTAGGATGGGTTAAACGCAGAGCACTAATTCCTAGTATGGGTAACCATACTTGGCCACATGTCACGTCATGTCACGTCAAAAGTGAAAAAACATAATAGGACCCCCTTAAAAATTTTTCACTGTAAACTGCTTTAATTTGGAGTGAGGGATGTATATCACTGCTCACAGCTGATTGGGCCCGTTTGAGATCTGTAATCCAGAATAAAACCTGCTTTGGGATAGGGTAGATGTGTAGCGTAACTTACTTTGGCTACAAATCCTGCTTAAAACCAAGCACCCTTCTTGAGCCCAAAAACTGAGTTTGCTCATGTTCTTTTCTGTTTTGGTAGTACGAGAGGGACCTACATGTTATTAGGCAGGTGGCTTTAATGTTATGGCTGTTCAGTGTATGTAGCATTGATTTATGTGTTTACACAATTAAAACAATATATTTTTTAAAAACTACTGCAGAAATATGAACGTGACGAACAGAAAGAATGAATCCAGCATGTTCTTCATTTCCTTTTCAGCCAGTCACTTTGACGTTGTGTCAAACACCTCTGACACTGAGAAAAGGCCAATGAAATTGGCAAGCAAAATTTGCATGGCTGGCCATGCCCTGGATGCCCAGGTATAAATAGTCATTTGCTCACTCGTTCTGTTCTTCGGAGCTGATGCAGCTCTCTGAGAAGTAGCATTTCATTCACCTCTCTTACTCCTCGTCGTTGGAGCTATGGCACTGGCAGGAGTTTCTCCCTTCCTCATACACAGATAAGTATAGTGAGAGTACTGAGCTGGGCCCATGCTGAAGCAGCCCTTGTGGATAAAAGCAGCCCTTTTCTAAAAGATCGCAAGTAACCTCAGTGGCTTCCCGTCCTTTTCCTTCTACTTCCGGGTATGAGGCCTCGGTGAATCTCCGCAAAACTTCTTGTTCCTCCCACAGTGTGTGTCTTCTGGTAGAGTTACCGGATGTTTTTGAGAGCTCAGTTCGGCACGAGCTTGATTTGTCATTTGGGGCTCATGAGGAGGATGAGCTGTTAATCGCAGCAGCAGAGAGCGGGCTGGAACCATTAGAAGCAGATGACTCAGCTGGAACTGCACTTCCGGGTGCCATGTTTCAGTCTGAGGCTGATGCTGAGATGGTGGTAGTGCTCACCTGTGCAGCTCAGAGCATTGGGCTCGAGTAGACTCCCCCACCCTGCACAGAGCGCTCTCGGCTGGATGAATGGTTCATGGAGTCCGAGCGCAACACTCAGCCACGCTCTAGATAGATCTGATAGATCAGTTTGCCTCACAAGAATGGTGTTCTTCTGGGGGAAGAACCCACAGTGATGTGGTATTGTATCAGTGCTATCCTATGCTATCCTTTCCCCAAGAGGGACTGGACAGGCACCTGTCTGCTTCTACACTCAAGGTGTACTTGGCCACTATAGCAGCAAAAACCACGCACTGTGGGTGGCAGATCAGAGATGAAGCATGATCTGGTTACCAGATTTCTGAGAGGTACATGGAGGTTGAATCCTCTGCGCCTTATCCCCTCTTGAGATCCTTCAGTGGTCCTTCAGGTCTTACAAATAGATCTGTTCAAGCCTCTTCAGTCAGTTGAGCTTAGTGTCCTCTCTATGAAGACGGTATACCTGATTGTGCTGTATAAAGAGGGTGGGGTCTGTAAGCCCTCTCTGTCAATAAAACATGCTTAGAATTCAGCCCGGCAGACTCTTATGTTGTTCTGAGACCCCGACCTGGATATGTGCCCAAGGTTCCCACTACTCCCTTTAGAGACCAATTGGTGGCCCTGCAAGCTATCCCTCCTGACAAAAGAGACCCAGACCTGCCTCTGTCGTGCCTGGTACAAGCCCTGCACATCTATATGGAGCACGCACACAGTGTTTCAGATCCTTTTGAACAGCTCTTTGTCAGCTTTGGAGGACAGCAGAAGGGGAAGGCTGTCTCCAAACAGAGAATCTCTCACTAGATTGTGGATGCGATTCTCATGGTTTATCAGGCCAGAGGCTTACCATGCCCCTTGGAAGTGAGAACTCACTTGACCAGGGGTGTTGCTGCTTCGTCAGCTTTGACAAATGGTGCCTCACTAGCAGACATTTGTAGAGCTGCAGGCTGGGCTACACCTAATACATTTGCCAGATCCTATAATCAGTGAATGGAACCAGTTTAATCCAGAGTTCTGGGTACTAACACAAATTCAGCTGCCTGGTAAGGTATAGAGCTTGCATATAGTGCCTTTCCCCTCTCTGAGGTGATAATGTGTGCTTTTGAGTCCAGTTTCAGTTCCTTCTTATGAACTTTTTCATAAGAAGTTTTGCGGAGGAACTATTTGTAAGTATCCCTCAACTGAACTCTTATATTGGAATAGTGTTCCATATGTTGTGACTCCCTATGGTGGTCCCATATGTGTATCTTCCACTGCAAAGTTCCTATTAAGGACTCTGTGTTTTCCCTGGACAGAGCACTGCTGTCACCAGGTGCTGTGTTTGACTGTTCTCCCCTTATGTGCAGTCCACCACAGAACCTTCCCTATGTAGTACTTCCTCTAGCAAGTCCATTGGATACATCTCCACATGTCACCTCCCATCGGGTAGGATGTGGTGTCTGTAGTGTTCTTTTCTCACTTGAGTTAGTGAACACTTCCCAACAACCAGGTTCACTAGCCGCTGAATTTTTATTAGTATTTTTAAGCAGAAGAAAAGGTTTCTGGCTGAGATTATATGGTATATGGTAACTTTCCTAGATGTCCCAGTTGAAATGCATGATCCCAGGTGTCTGGGATCCCGGATGCCGACCCTTAATGTTGGAACTTTGACACATCTCAGTTTCCTCCATCAGGGAACGAGGGTTACCATACATAACCGAGACGTTCTCAGTTCTTACTGAGTTGAGCTTGATTCTGTTTGAAGTCAAGAGATTTAAATGTTAATTATGTGTGAAAGTGTGTATTTCAGTGTGACTCTCAGTCCTGCAGTATCATGATACTGAGGAGCAGTTCACGTGTTCAGTCATTTACAGCTCAATCAGCTGAACTCACAGCAGCAGAAAGAGGCTGAATACTTCAAATATACTTTACATTGTGTTTTATTTGTCAGAGTCAAATATGATCTTACCACAGTTTCTCCAGTTTACACTGAGGATTCTTGAGTACCGAACAGAGAAGTGCCACACCAGAACTTCTTAGTTTATTCCAAGACAGATTCAATTCTCTTAGGTGTGAAGTGTTCGATCTCAGAGCTGAAGCCAGATCAGGACAACCTTCATCTGTGAGACCACAATCACTTATGCTGCAGAGAAATGAAAATCATTCTTGTAAACACTATGAACTGAAAACAAAAGCAATAAAATAACTTGCTGCAATAAACAACTTTCAATTCCAATGTAATTCATTCATTCTGTAAGGGGAAAAAAAAACAGACACGGATGTATTTCTTAATTTATTATCCATGTTTCAATTTGAATTGAATCAATATTTATGTATTAATTCATTTGTAACTTTAAACTTGTTTAAAACTAATCTGCAGATAGAACGGTTTCAAAAACACATAAAAATACTGACCAATAAACTCTGGATAGCATCTGAAGATGTATAAGCTTTTAACTTTGATTTTCTTAAAGTTTTAGCAGTGAAGTGATTGTTCTCAGTGATACTTACTGAACTGAACTGGATTCTTTAATCACAGGCAGCAGCTTCTGAAAAACTTTCATGTTTTCTGCTTTATTGCTTCCTACAACAAATGTCTTGAGATCAAACACATCAAGCTTCTTCTCTGAAGTCAACAACACAAAAGCTACAGCTGACCACTGAGATGAAGAGAGTTTGACTTCCTACTGGATTCTTTAATCACAGGCAGCAGCTTCTGAAAAACTTTCATGTTTTCTGCTTTATTGCTTCCTCCAACAAATGTCTTGAGATCAAACACATCAAGCTTATTCTCTGATGTCAACAACACAAAAGCTACAGCTGACCACTGAGATGAAGAGAGTTTGACTTCCTTTATTCTTCCAGATCTCAGATACTGTTGTATTTCCTCCACTAGTGAATGATCACCCAGTTCATTCAGACAGTGGAACAGATTCATAAATTTTTCTGGAGATCGATTGCTCCTGATCTTCTTCTTGATGTAATCAACTGTTTCCTCATTGCTGTCAGAGCTGATTCTTGTCTGTTTTATTAGTCCTTGTAGGAGATGTTGATGAGACTCCACTGACAGACCCAGAAGAAACCGCAGGAAAAAGTCCAGATGACCAGTTTTACTCTGTAGTGTCTTATCCACAGCTTTCTGATGCAACTCAGATAATGAAACATGTTCTGATGAATTTTGTTGAAACCAGTTCTTAATTTTAGACAACAAACTTCGTTTGGTGATTTTGTCAAACACATTTCTGTTGTGGTTTGTACAGGAGAGGTGCACATATAGAGCAGCTAGATGTTCCTGAATGCTCAGATGAACAAAGCAGAAAACTTTCCCCTGATACAAGCCAAACTCCTCTCTGAAGATCTGAGTGCACAATCCTGAGTACACTGATGCTTCTGTCACATCAATGCCACACTCTCTCAGGTCTTCCTCATAGAAGATCACATTTCCTTTTTCCAGTTCTTTGTATGCCAGTTTACCTAGTTTGAAAATCATCTTTTTGTCAGTGTCCTTCTCATTGTACTTCATGTTTTTGATGTTAATCTGTGCCGTCAGGAAGTGTGTGTACATTTGAGTGAGAGTCTTGGGAATCTCTCCACTCTCTGCTCGACTCAACATCTTCTCCAGAACAGCGGCTGAGATCCAGCAGAACACTGGGATGTGGCACATGATGAAGAGGCTCCTTGATGACTTCAGGTGT